GAAGAATTGTTATAATATTAAATTAAATTGCATTGGAGGTTGCAGTGAGCTAAGATCGCACCACTGTGCTCCAGCCTGGTGACAGAATGAGACTCTGTTCTTAAAAAAAAAAAAAAAAAAAAAGAACTGTTGGATAAGCTATCAAAATGCAGCTGTTGTTTTGTTTTTGGTTCACTGTTTTCGTGGTTGTAACTAATATGTGGAAAGGCCCATTTCCAGGTTTGTGTAGAAGAGCCCGGAAAACGGAGTCTCAAGACCCCCGCTCTGGACTGTCATAAGCTAGCGCCCGTGGTAAGCGGGATAAGACAAGCTCCCGAAGCCCACCAGCTTCCTGCTCCACTCGGCTCCATCCAGTCGACCTGAACCCACCCAGTCCGGCTGTCTGTGGGAATGGTGGCGTTCTTACGGAAAGACTTACACCTTATTTGTCAATGTTCCTCCAGGCCCCATTTGGCAGCTCCCATATCTTTTGTTATGTTGCTTTTAAATAGATGATGCTTTCTTGTTTTAACTCTTGGTGAGAGTAGATGCTCTCTGGAGTGGAGAAGAGGCACATGTGACTTCATGGCCTGGGCTGGGTGGGAGCTGGTCACCCTGGGGATCGAGAGAGGGGGTAGGGTCTCCTTCAAATGGCAGTTTTACTTCAAATGGCAGATTTCATAAGAGTTGGTTATTTTTCACAACGGTTTAGGTTGTTAAGTCTCCTTTGTATGTAAGGTAGTTTTTTCAACATCTAAAATATTTGTTTTAGCCATCAAAACCAACTTATCAACCTCAGTCCAGCTGCGAAGGCAGCGTTGATTATGGCAGTTTGTCAAGAATACATGGACCTGGAAACGCTTTTTCTCTCTGTCTACGTGGTAGATAACTTGTCCCGTCGAGAGTTTTCAGATCTGGACTGGAAGTGCCAGGACCACCGCCTCCAGGGAGTCGCTGTGCACCTGGAGGTATCGTCAATGCCTCTCCCCCCATCGTTAGAAAATTTGGCTCTTCTGAGGTCATTATTATTTTAAGAATGATTAGGATTGATAAAGGTCCCATGACCAGCAATATGGAAATGCAAGAGTGGGAAGGACACGGTGTGAGACTTCCTCTAGAAAAAAGTGAAAGTTAGGATTAGCACATCCTTTTTAAAAATTACAAATTTAGTCCTGTTTTGGTTTTTGCAATCAGGCCAGACGCAGTGGCTCACACATGGAATCCCAGCACTTTGGGAGGCCGAGGTAGGAGGATCACTTGAGCCCAGGAGTTCGAGACCAGCCTAGGCAACATAGCAAGACTCTGTCTGTATACGAAATTTAAAAATTAGTTCATTGTGGTGGCATACACCTATAGTCCCAGCTACTCTGCAGGCTGAGGTGCGAGGATTGCTTGAGCCCAGGAGGTTGAGGCTACAGTGAGTTGTGACCTCAACACTGCATTCCAGCCTTGGTGACAGTGTTAGATTCTGCCCCTCCAATCCCTGCAAAAAAAAAAAAAAAAGATGCAATCAAAGGGCCTGTTGGCCAGCAATGGCAGCAGCGGCGGCGGGCAGTCTGCCCAAGTGTCTTAGGAACCAGAAGCAAATAAAAGTGTTTCCATATATGCCACCAGCCAAGTGGCCATCGTAATTCAGAAAGAAGCTAGCCTTTGAGTGGCATGGTCCATCCGTTTCAATATTATTTCCTAAAATGAGAAGCCCCTGTGTTGATGAGACCCAGGGACTGGAGGCCAATGCCACACTTGTGTTATCCACCGCGACCCTGCAGCTACTCGCTCTGATGTGCCCTGTGCCATTCAAAGAGACGTGGCCCAGGAAAGTGAGCCTCATGTTTTTCAGAGAAGTCATTGTTCTGTTTACATTTTCATAAAACCTGTTCAAAATAGCCCCCTGTCTCAGACTTTCAGCAGTAACAGTAAGCTGACTGGCACGTTCGATGTTAGCTCCCGGGACACTCAGCAGCGATGGTGAGCATTTGGTTTTCTTAAGGCCCAGCAAGACGTCCAGGGACATCTCTGATGAAGCCAGAATGGAGACACCGGTGACCTCAGGCTGAAAGTCACTCAACACTGGTCTCTTGTGTTGATAGGGAAGGAAATCACACATTCCTATTTCTTTAAATAACAAAACCACTAATTGCCACTCAAGGCTAGAATATTTTGGGTCACCTAATCATAGATTTCTCAGGGCGTCAATACTCAAATATAGGCTGATTATGCCCCAGTTCAAATGGGAACTATTAACAGAGTGCATTTCTTGCTTGCTGGGTTTCAACAGACATCAGCCAAAAGAACAAAAGAGATGTCAGGACAGATTCCGGAGTGTCGAAGCGCATGTGTGGCACCCGCTCCCCCTGGCAGTGAATGCAGGAAGTTGCAACTTTACCCACTCTTCAACAAGTCATTGTTTAAACACAGTTCTTCATTTTCTCAACTTTTAATAGCAAAAAGTGCCGAAGTCCTCAGAGACCAAACAGCCTTGGTCTACCGTGCTGACCAGGGTGAAGGCATGGCACGGGGCTCCTCCCAGATGTGCCTCTCGTGTGCCAGCCGGCTGTGGCTCGGGAGCAGACGCAGGCCTCTCCACTGTCCAGGGGAGCCTGGCGGCGCATCCTTCCTTTCCCACCTCCTGGCACTTCCAGCGGGGTGTCCTACATGCTGGATTCTGTCCCTACCACACTTCTAGAGGCTGGAGAACTGCGCAGGCCTAAGGCCGTTTGGATAAATTGTCAAAACAAGATGCTTCCAGTTATAGCAGCAGGAGTGGGACCGGGAGCACGGGCTGACGGTTGCTGGTGCCTTTCTTTCCGTCTCGCTTGCCTGTTTCCCCTTGACCTTTCCTCCATCTCTGATGAGAAGAGTATAAAGCATCTTCCTAACGGGTATGTTTGCTATACAAACATAACGGACGTGAAGTGGGGCAGAAACCCAGAACTCGGCATTCAAGGATACCCAGGAGAGCTGTCCATGTTTTAAAGAGCTGTGTTTTGTTTTGTTTTGTTTTGCATTTGAAGAGCAGAGAAGGGACCTTTCTGCTGCGCTGACGCATTTCTTACACTGGGCCATTTAAGACCCCAAGGGAAACAGCCTTCCTGGAGCGTGCATTGTCTGGAGGTTCCAGGGACAGGGACAGGGCAGCCTCCCAGAGCTCAAGGCACAAATGAGAGATTTGCTACACCATGAAAAGTCAACAACTTAGCCACCACTTCCCCGCAACGGACCACGAAACAAATACCTCAGCAGGCCCTGCGAGAGTGCTAGAGCTGAGGTGCACACACTGCGGCGTCTGTAGTTAGGGCAGGTGGGATGGAGACTCCTCTAGTGCGCACACCTGAGCCTGCCCACACACGGGAGCAGCATCTCATATGACATCTGGCAGGAACTTCGGTTGTGTAAAGGGAGCCTTGAAGATATGTGCAAAAGGTGCTACCCCAATTTGGTGAAACTGACATTGGGCACATCCTGGGCTTAGGAGAAGCGGCCGATGGTCCTGGCCTGCAGTGACACACAGCCCCCACCACCCCCAGCACCCCCTCTCCTCTTCACCTCTTCCTGCCAGCCATGCGGAAGCCGCTTCCTCAGAGAGACCCTACCAGATGTGGATGGAAACAGATGCATCAAAGCAAGCCTCGATGAAACCGTGACCTCCTAAGGTCTGTCTCCTCTGAACTTGCACCTGTGACTCTCTGTGTTTGGTTCCAAGCACTTCCCACCTCGAACTCCCATTTTCAAACCACTGTAGCTCTGGGCACTTTCGATACTTACCAGCTGTATACACGATGGAGGGTTTTTTGGTCCTGATCCAGTGGCCACACCTGTCTCTGGAATGTCTCACTCAACTCCAGTTTTAAAATGGATTCATTGTTTCAACCCAGCAAGCCCAATGCACCCAGCTAAGACTGGCTTGACCGACAGCCTGGCCTTTGGTGGGGGGCTTCCTGGGGCCTGGGAAGAGCTGGCTACCTTCAACAGCTGGTACCTCTTCAACAGTGTAGCCTTTCGAAATGCAGATGCCACCAGGAGAACGTGCCAGGTGCCCACAGCTCACCACCTATGGATGCCATGGCTCTGGGCAGCTTTCAAGGCAGGTTCCTGTGGTCTCCTCAGCTGTCTGAGGGGTTAACAGCAAATCAGCCTCCATTTTAAAATGAAAGCACCAGCCGCCAGATGTAGGGCCTGCTGGGTGTTGCTAGCCGCTGGGCCCCAGGCACGGTGCCCTTTCTCCACCTCCTGCAGCCTCCCTGTTGTTTAGAGACACTTACACCTGGTGAGTGCAAGGACAGGTGACCCAGGGGGCTGCAGCCTTGTCCTCAGCTCCCATCTCCTGGACTGCCAGCCTCGCCCTCTGCAATTAGCATGGTTGGCCTGATGCAGGGGTCCTAAGGGATTACTTTTTAGACCTTCTTTCATGTTCAGAACAGTGGTATAGATTCAGGAGAGGCAAGGAAATTATGCTGTCCGTAGAAGTCACCCATGAAGACTGATGCCACCACCTGAGGGCTCATGATTATTAGAAAGTGTCCACGGGAACCTCTCATCCACAGGAGGTTTGTCTCAACACTGCTCATTTTTACGGCACTGGCATTGCCAAGCATGGGGAAGTATCCGCTCTTCTCATGTTAAAAGTGGCCCAGCTTCTCTTAACTCGGTCCAAGCTGACTTGTTCAGTCGCACTGGAACTTCTTACCAATCAAATATTTGCATGGAGCAAAGGGGGCTGTGCACACCTCCCTAATGGCAGGGATGATGGCAGCTGTCATTCAAGCCTACCTTCAGACGTCACAGTCTGGAAGTGAAATGTCCACAAATATCTGCGGCAGAAACGGCTGTAAGGACCACCCAGCTGTGAGGCAGCTTTACAGAGCAAGGAAGGGTTGTGGCAAATAAATGATTAACCTGCCTCCACTGTGCTGAGGGCAACCAAGGCCATCTCACCAAAGGATTACTCGATGCCATTAAATCATCCCGTGAACTTCCTGCTTCCGAGTCCATGGCCTTTGCCCAGGGCATGTACTCCTCTGAGAGGCCTTCTGCCTAGAAAGATCTAAGACTGGCTTCTAACGGTTGAGGTCTAGGTTTTTGCTGGGATTTACATATTTTCAAGTGCCATTTTGACAGCATTCAGGGAAACGGTCCTTGACCCCATAGACTAGGGTAAGAATAAAGGCAATAAATTTGGTCTGACTCAGAATATAGGAGATCCATATATTTCTCTGGAAACCACAGTACGCACTAAAATGTGAAATTGAAGGTTTTGTTAAAAAGAAAAAGATAATGAGCTTCATGCTTTGTTTAATTACATAATGATTTCCATTACACTATTTCTGTGAAATGCAGCAGGTTCTTAAACGTTATTTCAGTGGCATGGGCTGGAAGCTTATCACAAAAAGCCATGTGTGTGGCCTTCTTATTAGAACTGAAAGAGAGAGGCTGGTGCCCAAGGCTGCTGCTTGCTCCACCTTTGCCAGCTCTGGACATCTGAGGACGTCCCTGCAGATCTGGAATGGGGCCATCAACTGACCATTTGCTTCTCAGAATTTCAGTTTGAGACATGAGAAGTATAATCAGTTACTTTTCTCCCCACAGAGAACCCCTTTTGTGAGGGGAGAGGAGCTATGGAATGTGGTTCAGCTGAAACACATACAACTGCATCCTTTTGGAGTCCTTTGCCAACAAAAACAGACCAACAGACCAGATCGTGTCCATGTTCAATGTCATGTCTTGGTGGACGCAGCTGATGACCTCAAGTACATGAGTGGTCTCATGGCTATTAGATAGATTATTTGCAAAAAAAAAAAAAAAAAAAAAAAAAGAGAAGAAATAATTGATTTTTACATCATAGACAGCAAACTAAAACCTGGGGAGGGGGTCAGGTTTTTTTTTTTAAAGTTTGCTAGTTGGGTCAAATGTGAGAAGAAGGGAGTCTACCTGCCACCTCTTCTCTTGCCCCTCTTCCGCCCACATCCAGCATTAAAAATCCATTCGTTTAATGAACGGATAAAGTGCCACGCAAACTGGCGCACAAGCAGGCCCCCAGCCCACGCACCCTGGCTCCTAGGAAGAGTGGTGACCCGGGTGCGGGGGGCATGCTGCAGGCCTGGGACATAGTCGGGCACCTTCCCTGGACCCCCAGGCCTTGGCTCTGCCTCAAGTCAGAGAGGGTCAGCCTTCAGGACCTGGAGAGGAGCAACTGGCCGATCGTTTCGCAATAAAATCACTCACTTTTGGCAACTTCACTTTTTTTAAGGCACAGTCAGTTCCTTTTTCATGTACCTCACAAAAGATGAAGACCATGTAGTACTCTTTTTGGTAAGATTACAGTGTTCATGTTAAATATCACTATTTTTTCTACATCGTGTGGTAAAAAGAACTATGTTAATAGCTATATCTTAAATACTGTGATTTGAGTTTTTAAAAAATATCCTAATACAAATATTTTACTAACTTACAATCATTCATCTAATAACAAATATTTGGATTCTTCTGAAATCAGTGTTGACTCATATTCTTAAAAGCCTGGCTCTTGACCCTATTGGAAACACAAAGGAAGCTGAAATCAAACAACTAAAATACACTGCGCACATGTGTGTATGCACACGTACACACGTTTTCATTTCTCTTGAGCCACGCAGAATTTACTTTCAATGTGGAAATCTCTTCCCATTACCACGCTGTATATGCACAGAGCACAAGAGAGGCTATCTTTAGAAACTTCCACCAGCGAGGCCTTGGACTCCAGGTTAGAGGCCGAGTTCATACAACAGTGTTTCGCTAAAGACCCTTCACTGTTCCTGTTTAGTAAATAGCTGTCTGCTCTTCAGGGAACCGTTAGCTATGGGTTATTACCAAAGAACTTTGGCAATTGGAAATGTCCTGTTGGAAATTCTTTGCACGTGCCAGTTCTCTGGCATCCTCCAGGTGGCCCAACCCAAAGCATAAAGCAGAAACCACAGACCCCATGAGTCTCCCCATACCCTGTTTCCAATACCTTGGCAAAACTTCTCGGTACATATTGGTTACACCCTCTGGGATCCATAATGCCATTAAGCTAAAACCCTAGGGGAGAGGGCTGACAGACACACACGCGACAGTGGAGCAGATCCCAGAGCAAGGACTGGGCCCAGTCTCTCCATGTGTGCTCTATTAGTGAGTGCCTTATACTCTCAGGATTTTGGGGCTTACAGCTTCTTACTTGTGCTAAACAGGTGCAGTTCCAAAGTAGGAACTGCCACACAGGCCCCAGCATCCTCTCTCCAACTTCATACCTCTCTCCTGGTGGGGGGAGCGGGCATCCAGGACCTCCAGAATCAAGGGTGTGCAGAGAAGGGTGAAAGTAATTTTTCTAGTCACATGAACTGATTGGTTCCAGGCAATTAGAAAATGGCTATAAAATAACCTTAATTTTGGGTCTTCATTTTCCTATTAGGAGACTGAACTGACCACAGGTATTGATTTATATCCTGAATATATGGGAACTTCTGTGTTTGGGATGTCCTACTGTAAGACTGATGAATGTACAGAGTTAATTTCAGGGTACAGTTTTGCCTTAATGGTTTTAAAAAATAAACTATTTTTTAAAATTTTTTGGTGAGTTTTGAGTGATGCTGCGAGACGGACTGTTTGGTCTAAAAGAACCAAGTCCTCAGCTGTGGGGTCCGCCCTCCACCAGAACAGTCCCTGCGCCCCTCATGGAGGCTGTCTCCACCTGCAGAATCCCTTTTGTGTCCTTCAGCGTACAGAATGGATCGAGTACGATGTGGCTTCAGAACACGACATCCTTTTGTCTGAAGTCACATACAACAGGAACTTTTAAAGCAGTGGGCATCTTAAAATCCATCAGTGTACAAGTCAGTAAAAACTCTTTATTCATTCCTTCATGTGACAGTTGGCCTTGAGTAGTTACAAAGACAGAGCAGTGCCTGCCTCTCCGAACTCTAAGGAGACATTCCAGAGCTCACAGATCAATGTCCCACCAGCTGCTACCCTGGAAGCTTCAAGGAGATGGGGAGCCTGGAGGAGGGGGTGCTGCAGGAACCCCTGGCAGGCAATGGGGTCAGGCTTCACAGGCACCCAGGGCTGTTTGAGATGGCAGGGGGCAAGCAGACAGGCAGGCAGCGGGATGGTCTTGAGGTGTGGGGTGAGGGCAGGAAGCCCACGGCATTCCTGACTTGGGGTCGGGGAAGACAGAATGGAGGGGCCAGAGCTGAAGCCAGAGCCTGAGGGAACTGGCAAGGCTAGAAGCCAGCACTCAGCTTCCCAGGAGACCCCAACCACTGCCGGGTTAAGTGCCCAGGGAGAATGTCGGGTATCCAAATGTTTCAGTGGAAGATTCCTTTCCATACATGAGCTGGTTATTTGGGTCTTTAATTATAAACATAATACATGGTCAAGGTTAAAAACATTTTCCAAGCATCACATAAGGATATGAAGTAAAAATTCTGTCCCCCTCTAGACCTTCCAGACTGGCTCCAGAAGGCAGCTGCTGTCAGTGATTTTCCTTACAGAGAGACCATTGCAGCCACCTACCATGCATCATGGCCCCGACACAGTGTGGCATCTCCCCTGACATGCACCTGCACGAGGCCTCTTAGGAGCTGCCCCACTGAAGGAGGTCATCCCTCTCAGTCACATCTGAGCAGCACTCATTCAGGCCTGGGCCCTGAGGGGCATGTGGGGACACCTGGCCAGGTTCCTGGCTGTGTCTTGTCTGGCATCTGCCTTTGGGCTACCCTCTTGCTACAGCTAGCTCCCTGGGCCTGTGGCTGCTCCAAACTGGACTCCAGCTCCCCTGGGCTGCAGTGCTGCTCCCAGTGGTCCAGAAACAAGGCCAGGCATGGCAGCTCCCAGCTCGGCAGCATCCCCGGTGCAGGCTGGCCCAGGAGCTCTGTGCAGGGTGCTGCCCGATGACCAGCCCTGGCTGCACTCACGTCCGAGAACCGGGCTGGCTGGGGGTCCTCTTTGATGGAGCTTTCCTTTTCTCCAAGTCTTGCCGAATTTCCTGAGGAAAAGCACTGATGTTCTCCTGGACACAAGGGAGGCAGAATCTCTTGGAGTAGAATAAGCTGCACTCCTGAAAGGGGACAAGGATGGAGACTGAGTATCCTGGGAACGCGGTGCAGCTCCTCCCAGGGTCCAGCCCTTACCACACTTGGAGGGCTGGGCTAGGGCTCCAGCATGCACAGTGTGGGCAGGTGGCCAGAGGTAGACCAGCAAGAGGGAGAGCCAGGCCTGAGGGCCTGGCAGGGTGTCCAGGAGAAAAGCAATGCAGGCCTGGGCTACCCTGGGTGGGAACAGCTGGGATGAGACAGAAAGGCTCTGGGGCCTGCTCTGCTCCATCACAGGGCAGCGATAATAATGGAAAGCTGGAGGACAGGCCATGCCCAGAAAATCCCAGAGTCCTCCCCTCCCAGCTATCACAGCAGGAACAGTGGCCACCTGGTGCTGGGAGCGGCAGGGGACAGGAAGGACAGCCCCACAGACCAAAGAGGCCATGGACGAACCAGCTAGTCTGGGCAGGAGGCCAGAACTGTCCAGCCATGTCCTCTCTCCTCTCTCTTACACACTAGAACTCCCAAGATTCATCACGGTGCACAGCACATGGCTAAGGATGACATTCCCCAGCCCCCTCTGTAACTGGGCATGTGAGTCAGGCTGCTCGGGGTGTCAGCAACTGTGTGTGCCACCTCCTGCTCATGTCCCTTTGAAGGAATGGACTGTGCTCTCACATCTCTTCCCGCTGCCTGGGATGCAGATACAATGGTGGGAATTGCCACAGCCAAAAGGGACCCAAATGGAGACTCTGCTGAAGACAACAGGGGTGCCCTTCCAGCCAAGGCCACCATTATAAGGGAGAAAATGAGTAAATAACTATTTGCTTTACTTAGGCCACTCTTATTTTTGGTGTCTGTCTGTTCTTAAAGCTTAGTGTGCTCGCAAACATAAGGCTGCCCTCCTGCAGTTCTTAGAAAAGACCCTTTGCCATGCAGATCGCTCACTAACAACTTACTGTTTTAACAAAGAAAGCTGCAGACTCATGGTACCTGCGTAGGCCCCCCACCCCGCCACCCCGCTGCTCACGAAGAGCAGCCCAAGCCCAAGGTGTTGCATTCAAGACCTCCACCTCCTCACCTGGCCCACACACCTCTGCAGTCTTCCTTTCCCAGCTTCTCCTGGACTGCCAGCTCCTCCATAAGCCTCAGATACTCCCATGCCACACTGCGGAGGTTCCTCCCACCCTGGCTCATCTCGTCCCCCTGGCTGTTGATACAGCTCCCCTTTGTGCGTGTCGCCCTGTGGCAGATGCTCAGGGACTTCTCAGACTCCAGGCTCACTCTGAGTACACTGGTCACGCTGGAAAAGCCACACTGCTCCACTTCCATCCGTCCTTGGGTTTTCAGCTACCCAGGTGAACCTGGCCCACCCAGCCTCTCTGAAGCTCAGTTCCCTCATCTATAAAATGGGTGGAATATAATACTGCTTTACCTAACTAAGTTAGGGGCAGGACTGAATGAAGCCTCCGCAGGAAAACAGGTCCCAAGCACAGGACCTGGCACACAACAAGTGCTCAAGAAAGGACAGTCCCTTCTCCTGGGAGATCCCTCCAAGAACATCTAGAAAGTAAGTCACCATCCTGGTGAGAGGGAGCACAAGGACTGTCTGCACGATTGGTGGGAAGGAGAGGAACCCTGAGGGGCCACTGGGGTGGGTGCAGAGCCACCAAGAACCTACTTCCATTCCTACACCAGGCTGAGACCCTCTAACTGACCCTAGCTTGCCCTCTCACCTCTCCCTTTCATCAGCTGGGGGGCCCCATCTATAATGGGGTGAACCAGCTGGTCCCTCCCTCTCAGTCCTCCCTACCCAGTGAGAGCTCCAGGATAACCACAGCAAGGACAGGCGGCCCCAGCCCACGCTGCTTACCTACCGGGCCCACACACACCAGCCTGCTGCACAAACTGCAGCGCGAGCCAAGGACCAGGAATCTGTCCCTGTGGGAGGTGAAGGGATCCTTCATGACATAGCTTTCCTCCAGGAGGCTGCAGGAGAGTGATGCCAGCGTCAGAACAACCCAAATCTCTGCTGTCGGAAAATCAGCCATGAGCTATGGCCGGGCAGCAGCCGCCTGGACCTCCGCAGGGCCTGTACACCTGCGTGGGCTCATCAGGGCAGGAGACTAGGCCACCCGTGCTGCAGGGCAGTGACAGAAAGGATCAGCAATTGGGGGCCACACTGGCATTGAAATTGAACCTGCTCTCACCTCTGTAACAGCCATGGTAGAGAGAACCCCTTGTTTTCAGCCAAAAGCAGGGCTGCTGCAACATGGGTCCCCAGACCCTGACTGGTTCACCGGGGTGCGGGCACAAGGCCGCCATCTGAATACCCCAGGCCTCCCTACCCCCAAGTCACACCCTCACAGCCGCTGGAAGCCAGCTGGCCTCACGCTACACATCACAATGAGACCACAGGGTGACATGATGACACTCAGGCTCCTGGTCAGCAGAGGGACCACAGCCAGAAGGAAAAAGCCATGCTCCCCGCCGCCCCACTGCATCCCATGTGAGTAACACACCGGCCGGCTTTCCAACAAAGTGGCATTTGATGAAGGACAAGCTGGAGGTCAAGAGATAAGCCCCTGGACCCACTGGCTCTAGTCCAGTCTGCAAGGGAGAAACGCCTCCCATTAAGAAAGTGTCACGGCAAGGGCGCAGCCCCAAAGTGGGAGGCCACCACAGGTCCCCCAGCTGCTGAGCTGCTCCCCCACAGCTAGAGCAGGTGTTGGACTCTGGGCTAGGTGTGGAGGAAGGTTCTGGAAGAGTCAGACCCCAAGCCTTGCCCAGGCCTCCAGAGATTACACCGGAAGCATCCAGAGCCTGGCCAGGCTGGGACCTAAAGCTCCACACCCCAGCCAGTTGTCAGACCTAGGCGCAACACCCACCAACCAGCACTGGGCACAGGCCTCCCCGGCTCTGGCCCAAAAGGCATGGACTCACACCATCGACTGGGTGTTGGGGGGCTTCTGTCCCACATAGCTGTACGGAGCTGTCAAGGCACAGAGTTCACACTCAAACACTCCCAGAGGCTGGCACTCTGCATGGGACGCCATCTGCAAGATCAAGAGATGGGGTGTCCCTGGGTCACAGGCTTTCTCAGAAATCCTGCCCCTTTCCCAGCTATGAAGACCCTAATGATATAGTCCTAGGAGTTTCCTGCCTCCCCACCGTACCCTTCTCTCTATCCCCAGCTGAAACAGGTTTTCACCGGTGCCCAGAGTGACAGGATTTGCTGTCTATATTCCAGTGGTTTAAGGTTTTTGTACTACTAGAGAGAAGGATCCAGACAGCATCCAGCAAGAGCAGCCATCTCTTCCTCCACGTCTGCACCACAGTAAAAGCTTTCCAGTCTCCCGCTCTGCCCCATTCTCAACCACAAGCCCCCAGTGAGCGCTGGTGGAGAAGAGGCCAGAGTGGGTGCAAACTCTCCTGTTTCTGCTGCTCCCAGCTGCTCTATGCCCTCACACTAGTCCACATGTGGTATACAGCATTTCATTAAAACGGTTTTCTTATCTGCTTGTATGGAACCCCCTTCTCATGTTCATGGTTGGGTCTTGGAGGCCTCTCTTTCCTTAGATTTCTGGCTAAATGGCTGCCATCTGATGGGTTCATCAAAAGTTACGATTTTGCTGATTACCCAGTTCCTTGACTATGGAATCAAGTACGACATTATCAGCTGGCCCCTAGCTCTTGGCTGTGAACTCCCCTCGCCTGAACTGAGCGTGGTGTATAAAGGCATATCAAATGCGATGGGATTCCCCGCTGGGTGACCCCAGATGCAACTCCGGGAAGCATGGGTTGCCAATGACTTTAAAAGTTACAATCTTCCCAGGCGCGGTTGCTCATGCCTGTAATCCCAGCACTCTGGGAGGCAGAGGCGGGCGGATTACCTAAGGTCAGGAGTTCGAGATCAACCTGGCCAAAATGGTGAAACCCCATCTCTACTAGAAGTACAAAAATTAGCCGAGCATAGTGGTGGGCGCCTGCAATCCCAGCTACTTAGGAAGCTGAGGCAGGGGTATCACTTGAACCCAGGAGGCGGAAGTTACAGTGAGCAGAGATTGTGCCACTGAACTCCAGCTGGACTACAGAGCGAAACTCCTTCTCAGCTGCGGTGAGCCGAGATCGCGCCACTGCATTCCAGCCCGGGCGACAGAGTGAGACTCTGTCTCAAAACAAAACAAAACAAAAGTTACGATCCCGTCGCGGGTGTGCGTGAACCTGATCCCGCTTCTCTTCTGCACACCGGCGCGTCCTAAACCCGGGCCGAGGCTCCTGGGGGCGGCGCCTGTGAGCAGGGACGGCTGAGCTGGTCCGGGGGTTGCTGCTGGTCCCCGCGAGCCTCCGCGTGCCCTCTCTCGCCCCAGCGCTGCCTGAGATCAGGGGGACAGTTCCGTGAGGCCCACACCCCGCTCCTCGGTCCCGTCCCCAAAGCTGAGAGCTGCAGAGCCGACCCCTGGCGCTTAGAACCCAGCAGGCCACGCCGGCGCGGAACTCAGTCCCGGCGAGCGGGAGGCGCCCTGAAGCAGCGCAGGGTCGACCCACAGCGCGCTCGCCCCCGCCAGGCCGCCTCCTGGAACTCACCACCGCCAGCGCCGCACGGCTTCGCGTCCAACGCGCCTGCGCGGCCCCACCCCACGGCGGCCTGACCAACCCCGGTGCAGTCGTAGGCGCAGACGCAGGCGCGGAGCGGCAGGCAGGAGCTCGAGGTGGTTTTCCGCCTCCGCCTTGCTTTTCTGGTAGGGCGGTCCCCTGCGCGGTTTCTGACTCTAAGCTTCGAGGCCGTCTGCGGGGCTGGGCTCCGTGCTGAGGGTCATCGCGTCTGGCCGTGCGCTGCGGGAGCGCGCGGGCCTGGCCTGCTGTCCTGGCCGCTGCGAGGCGCTCAGCTTCTTTCTGAGTGTTCCACCGGGTTCGACAGGGTCGAGGTCGCCGGCGCGAGGCCCCCGGATAGCTGAGGGGCGCGAGGGCGCCTCCAGTCTCCCACCCGCTCTCCGGCGCTGCGGGCTAGGCTGCCCGTCTATCCCACGGGACGTCTGCCCCCGTACGCAGGAGGGGATGTGTCGGCCAAACCGGGGTCTCAGGACCTATCTTTGCTCCTCCAAAGCCCACGTGGCCTGCGGTGCCCCTCGGGTCTGCGCCGCGTTCTCCTTTAGCCTCCCGGGCCTCTCTGCTGCCCCTCGCCCCCAGGCACCAGGCACACCTGCTTGCCTCTGTTCCCGCCCGTGGCCTCTGACACACCGCGCCCTAGACCCAAAATGCCCGCCCTACTCCTGGAGCCTCCGGTGTGTGAGAGGCACCTTTCCCTGGGGCCAGGGGCCCGGACTCTGAAACCGGGCTGGCTTTGCCTGTGAGCCCCAGTCCTCCCAGCTGGAGTCCCTCGCCCCAGCCGCAGCGGGCCTTCACCTGTGCTTTGGGGACGACAGGGTGGCCGCCCTCCTTCCCCCAAAGATTTGAGGGTTTTGCTCCACGCGGGAGGTCTGCCTGTGCCAGCAGCCCGCAGCCTTTCACATGCTGTTGCGTTACAGGGCCCTCTGTGACCTTTCCCTATGTCGAGGGGTGCTTCGTCTCTGTTCCTGAGAGACCATAATTTATTCTTGGCTTGTCAAGCCACATTTGTAGGAACGCTGCCAAGTTGCAGCAGGCTGGGGTCTGGGACTTGCTCCTTTGGCGAATTGCGAAGTAAGGATGTAGAAGGCATTTTAGCAGTAATGGAAACCAGAACCACTCTTAGACCTGGGCAAGAGGGGCCCCAGGAATTAGCAAGCAATTAGCAAGCAGCTGGATTTCTATGACCTCCACTGTGCTTAGTGCAATGGCATTCGATTCGTTGGATCGTTTCAAAGATGACATACTAGGTTGTTTTTGTTTTTGTTCCTAGGAACATCTTGAAGCATTTTGAATTTGACCTGTGACTACCCTCAGATACAATGATGGTAACTACCCCATAAGTGCCGTTAAAGCAATTTGACTTATGTTAGACAGGTTAACGTTAGATGCATTAGAAGAGTTAAGGGAACTAGTGGGCAGCATTCAAAGAGCAAATCGTGGTCTTTGGCAGAAAACAGTTAATTTTGTATTTGAGCTGTCCAGTTATTACAATTAGAAAAAACTTTAAACTTTAAACTTTAAACCCAGAAAAAACTGGGTCTCGAGCTCCCTCATTCTGTAGTTCAGTGGGCAAGTGCATTTGACCCGACTGCAACCAGCCTCTATCAGTAAAAAGTAATCATGTGGACACCTGCTGACCCTTTTTCTCAATCCATTCAGAAGTCAGGTGGTTAAGAGAGGCACTATCTCAAGAACATGTGCCCCAGTCGGAAGCAGTGGGCCAGTGTGGGCCAGGCCACTCCCATGGCCTTCCCACCAGGGAAGTTAGAAAATCCCCATCTGACCTCCTTTTTTGTTGTTTGTTTTGAGATAGAGTCTCGCCCTGTTGCCCAGTCTGGAGTGCAGTGGCGAGATCTCGGCTCACTGCAACCTCTGTCTCCTGGGTTCAGGTGATTCTCCTACCTCAGTCTCTTGAGTACCTGGGACTACAGGTCCCCACCACCATACCTGGCTAATATTTGTATTTTTAGTAGATACAGGATTTCACCATGTTGGCCAGGCTGGTCTTGAACTCCTGACCTCAAGTGATCCACCCACCTCAGCCTCCCAAAGTGCTGGGATTACAGGTGTGAGCCACTGCGCCCAGCCCCCATGTGACCTTCTGACCCTTGCTAACTGTGTGAGGCCTTGGGTGAATCATGAGACCTTTTCGTCTTCCCACCTGGCAACAAGTGAGACAGAACTACATTCTGCCCAGGTCTAGGCGTCCCCTCGAAGGAAACGACGAAAGGAGTCTATATGTGTCTGCAGGGGCCTAGTGTGGTATGGCTATTTCAGTGCAGCTGAAGATGACAGGGACACCGAAGTGGGTACAAAGCAGCCACCCATCTCATTTGGTTGTCCCCCTTTTCTAGGCCTCCACTTTGAGGGCAGGAGCTATATGTGTATATGCACCTCACACAGAAATCACTGCAAGGCTCAAAGAAGAAAACTCACATTTAATTCTGATAAAGCTTAGTGGCATCTACATAAATGAACATGCTTCTGAGTGAAAATAGTACAGCTACCGGCCCTTGTTTCCCTGAAGTGATAAATCACATTTTCCTTATTCCTAAATAGTCTGGCACACCATAAATAACCAAATGCCCAAATCCTAGATGCATATGTTGCTATATTCAACATATAGACATATTTCAATGTGAACCCATATATACCTTTTTGTTGCTTAACAAAACATGTGTCTTGGTCAGAAAATGTTACTGAATTTTACTTTAACTACCAGTAGCTTTAAGAATAAATGAGAAGCACCACTTCTGCATTCCCAAGCATGAAGCAAGCCCTGGAACTCCCCATGAGGCCCTAAGCCCAGATGGACCAAGAGGAGGGGAGGCTCGGCAGCCCTGATCTACAAAAGGGCCTCCCAGCAAGGCCAAAGAGTTTGGGGCTCTGTCAGGAGCAAGAGGCCATCGGCTTCCAACGTGGGTCAAGCACAGAAACACCCAGACAATGCTCCACCCTGGCCAGGTCCCTCTCTCAAATCTGGTTCTCAAAATCAGTGGCTCTGCCTTCGCTAAATTGCAGGCACCAAAGAAACAGGGTTGCCTTTGTACAGGGAGTCACATAACTCCCCTCTAAAAGGAAATCAGTCCAGGAATCGCACACTGTGATCCTGCTGTCTCCCCAGATGCTACACCACACCAACTTTTACATTCCCAAGAGCAGAGGCCAAGATTGGGGATTCTTCCAAATGTAGGGGATGTGCCTTGTGAAGGACATGAATAGAAAGCATGACTAAGCCACTGACACTCCCTAATTCCCTTAATCCCACAGACTCAGCATTTGGGGAAACACTTGCTTGTGACTCATGAAACTGTCATCCATCAAACAACAAGGTAAACCATTTTCTTCCCGTTGATGTTTCTGGTCTTCAGCCCCAGATAACGGCGGCTGTTCTTCTCTGGCTGCCCATACAGCATGTCAGTAAAGAACTCAGGCTCATCTTTGGCCTTAGATTGTGAGGTCAGAAAGCTGAACATGGTTCTCAGCTTACGGCACAAATAGGTCATTGCTTCCACTTCATCTGATGGCTCCTCATACACAGGCTGCTTCATTTCCTCATATGCAGACAGAATTACAGCCTGAAATAAGTTGATCAAGACACAGATCATCACCAGCATGAAAGATGAGAGGAACAGGACCCCCAGAATCCTGTTATTGGAAAATTCAGTGTTCTGGAAAGCTGAGACACAATAGGAAAACACTGTCTGAGTGGAATGAACCAAGTTACTGTAGTTCCATTCATGCTGACCAAACACCAGGTAACCAAAAGCCATATATACAAAGAAATACACAGACACAACAAATGCCATGTGGCAGATGCCAGGGAGGGCAGCCTGGATGGCCCTCTGAGCCAGGCGCACATCGTAGAAGAATCTGGAATACCTGAGGGTCTTCAAAATTGTCAGAAATAACAGGAAACCCAAAATTATCCTCATGATGTGATCTACCTGAGAAACTGCATGAAAGGGAATGAAGTCTTCAGGGTTCGACAAGTAAAACTGAATTATGCCAGTGGCCAGGAAATGTTTCCTGAGAAAGAGCACAATCAACACAGTAAATATGCATTTTAAAGCAAAGTTGAGCAAATTATACACACTTCTTACATAGGAGGCTCTTTCTTGCATAATGATATAACCCTCATCCACAACGTAGGCTAAGAAAAAAATGAGAATGGCCACATACAAGTAGATTTCTGCTGAAGTTTTTCTGTCAAAATCAGCAAGTGAAAAAGAGTGCAGAGATATGCTTGTGTTGACAACTCCTAACTGAGAGACCTCAAATATGACTGAAATGCTACAGAACAGATTTACATCTGGATTAAAAGTCGTTAATTCCAAAACCACAGCCCATGTCTTCTCATCCAGCCAATTGCTTTCTTGAAGTTCTTTGAGTCTCAGTGTGGAATTAAACTGCTGCTGTTTTGGAAAAAAATAGAGTGCATATCCTCCAGATCCATAGGTGTGTAGTAGTCCATAGGAATAATACAACCATTGCTTTCCTTGAGGCTTATAAGTAAATCCATTGGTACTGCCATCTATAGCCTGCTTATCAACTTCATTCCAAAAGCCAGAATAGTTTTTTGTGTCTTCTGGGTCAATGCCATATTTGGGATGACAATGAATTTCTCTTCTGATGCTGTTTTGCACAAACTTTTCGGTAGGTAGACACATTTTTTCACTAGATTTTGCTCTCACTTGCCTCATCAATGGAAGGCCAAGGATTTTAGATGAGCTTTCAGGAAGAAATGTTGGATTCAGGTCATTGTGTAACAAAGGCAACAGCACGCTGTTTAGCCATCTATAGATGTCTTCTAGCTTAGTCACATTAGCAAGATCCATAGAGAACCGATCACGAATAAACTGGTTATAGTAAAAGCTGTCAGTGTGACGTAGTAGGACGATAAGGATCAACAGAAGGGCTAGAAAGATAAAGTGAGTTAGAATGTAACTCAGAAACAGGAGTGCTCTTCTCTTGATCCTCTTCTTTCTTTTGAATATTCTGATTTCATCTTCTGTAAGGGGTTGGTACATCCTCGTGCCTCGGATTCGGACAATCTGGTCATGTATCCTCTGCATTTCTTCTGGATGCATTCTCATTCCATCCAACCTGATCTCAGTATATTTATACTTGGTTGACCACGAAAGGTTTTTGCAATACTTGAGTTTATTTGTTCTGAAGCCTGACAAGAGTATAATTTTAGATGGCTGCACCAGAAAAACTGACTGACAGAATGAACAAAAAGATGCAAAGAGCCATTCCATTGACTTGTCATAGCCGTAAGTCAGTCCATAAAATACGATGAAGAATGAGGATATGCTAGAAGTAGCAAAAACCAAAAACCATGCAACATAAACACACCACCAAGGCAGGACGATCCGGGGTTTTTTCTTAAGCTGCTGGAGATCCTGTTGGGAAGGATGCTCTTCGGAGTGGACATCCTGATTGTCTTCTATGTTGTTATTGGAATTTGTATTTGGCCTGGGGGTCTCTGGGGTCTTGATTCGTGCTTTCCTATGCCTGTGCTTGGGTTTGGAGGTTGCCTTAGGAGAAGCCTTTGGAAGCCTGGGTTTTCCTTTAGATGCAGGTTTTGCAACCTCCCTGGGGTGTGCCTTAGCAGTTTCATAAGCATGCCATTTTGTTAAGCTTTCTTCCCAGTGCTCACTTGCTTCTGACATTAGAGGATGCTTTTGAGGAGATACCTCCTTTAGATCCGCTTGAGGTTTCCTCTGGGAATAGGTGAACAAAAAAGTTATTAATAATTGCACAGGGATTGTAATTAAGACACTTTCAATTCCTATCATCATTGATCTCATGTACCTCCTCTCTCTTGACTCAGTTTGTTCTTGTCTATTTAGATTAAAGAACATAATGTTACAAAGAAGAGAGCTTAGCAACATTGCTAAACAACAGGACAATCTCTGGAGCCTATTGAATGTTTTAGCAACAACACTAGCAAAAATAGAGAACCACATGTGGTTTTTCTGGAGATTACTACTCACATCTATAAAGAAAAAGTCTTTTCTGGTCAGAGGCTCATCTGGATGGGTAACGTGAAATGTTCTGTCCAAAGTGG